ATTATTTTAAAATTAAGTTTAAATTAATTAAAACTAAAATTTTAAAAGAAATTCTAATATTTCTTTTTAAGCCTTGTACTACCCTTATTTTCACAGATACATTTTTTCCTTTATGACAGAACACGGGTATTTTCTTCAAACCTAATCCCTAAGGGATTAACTACAGCTCATTGCAGCCTTCCCTCAAGAGAAGCTATGAGGGACCAAAGAGTTAAAATTATTAAGACATTTTTATAGCTTTGCTAAAAAGATCTCAAAATTATAGTCTCAAAACTATCTTTTCTGTATTTCAAGACAGTGAATACTGGCCACATATTCATCAAGGTAACAGGTAAATCGGAGAGATACAATACAGCAAGTATCAAAGCCCTACACACAAGGGACCTTATCTCTAATGGCTACTTCTAAAGCAAGGGGAGATTCTGCTAAATTCATAATTGCCTTGCAGTCTCAAGACTGCAGACTCAACTAGCATGTTGCTTTCCACTGCTTTTTCTACTACTTAAAGAGAAGAAAAATAAAGAAATAAAAGGAGAAAGTTAGCAATGAGGCACAAGAAGAATCTGGAATGTTGAAGTGACTTAATCTAAAACTTCATCCCTGTGTCAAGCATCTGCTTATTCCTCAATAGCTTAAGGTTCAGAAAGAGCACAGTGTTACTGTTAATCCTGTAAGTAACAGTAGTCATATACCTGGAGACATCTAAAAAATTCCTGGATAACAAAAATCTCATGTCTCAAGCTTGATTTTGCACCACATCTTAATCTTCAACTGCAGTGAATAAACTAAAATCAAATCAGTTAGAGATTTTCTCTCTTAAAGAGCAGTATATATTACCTTAAAAAAGAAAAAAAACTTTTAATTTTACAGTTTTCAGGAAAAAAAAAAAAACGTATTGGATAACTAGTATGGTGGTTTTTTTCTCTTACCATATCCTGCCATAGAGGCTCCACCGCCACCATTCATTAAATTTTTATTTTCTTCTGCCAGTGCTTTGACATATCTTTTACTTAGATCTAATATCTGTCCACGCAACTCGGCACTGCTTTGGCGTCTTGGATACTGAAAAGTGTAGCGTAGCAACATCAAACCCCAAATGATTCCAAAAACTAGTAAAAACATACTCAGTTTCTGGGACATATTTTTTCTTGAAAATGTTAGAAACATTTCTGATGAAGGCCACAGGTGCGCCTTAATTTCAAGGTAAGTAATTGAACTTGGCTTTGTCAAATTATATTACATATTAAACAAAAATAAGATTCCTATGAAGTGAAAAATCTTCGGGCTGGATCATCTTGAATACATCTTCTCATGTTTTACTTGGTCTTAATTCCTGAAATTTGTAAAATATCACTTGGTTATTCAAAACTGCTACAGTTGTTGAGATCAAGGACAAATATCAATTTCCAAATGCAGTATTATTGCATAATCTAGCAAACAGTTCTGGATTTGTATCTGCTTAGAGCTGCAGTCATCTATCTGTCCCATCTATTTTTACAAGGTTTCCTGTGCTTGTTATTACCAATTTTTATTCTTCAAAAACCAAAACTTCTGTGCTTCTACAAATTACCTTAAGTACTTTAAATACCATAATTTGAAATGAGACTAAACCCAAAGGCATTTCAAACAAAATGCAGGATCTAGAAGAGACTTGTAAAACACTTACACACAACATTTTGATGAGTTATACCTATACGTCTACACACAAGAAAAAGTTCTTGTGAAATTATTCACTTGATTGTTGTTCCCCACTTAGAAGCATACGGCAAGTATAAACAGATAAAATGCAGAACAGTTTATTAGTTGGTTAGTTAGTTCGAAGTTGGGCATCATTCTCTTCTGGTTTTGTACAGCATTAAGATTTTTTTTTTTTGGTGTTGTTTTGGTGTCTTGCTAATAAATAAAGAAATAAAACCAAAATGAACTGGCACATTGCACCCCACTTTTAGCATTTTATTATCACTTAAAAAATGTCTTACCATAGCAGCCAGTTCCGATCCCTCAAAAGACTAAGGCTTCAGGAGAAAAACAAATGGTAGAGAAGCTTCAGCAGTTAAACAGCAAATGTCCAGATAGTTTAAAGCAATATAAGTCAGACATCTTCAGGGAGCTCTGTATTGGGGAAAAAAAGAATAAGAATAAACAAAGCAAAGTACAGGACTAAAGAGACCTTCATTTGCGCAGGGAGTAGTTGAAGTTAAGGACTTCAAGTCAAATGCTTTTTTTTAAACCTAACTTGAAGCAATTGTTAGGGAAGAACATAGAATCCATTTCCATTTTATTGTAAATGCATACATTTGAATGTCCAATAACCAATTCCAACATACTTTTAAACAAAAACTTCGCAAGAATCTCACTGAAATGTGTCCCTCTTCTTGTGTTACAAGACAGTGACAGCAGATGTTCCAGATTTATCATATATGTATGCACACATATATTTACATATGTATCATTCTCTTATTCATTTTTCCCCCTCAAACAAATCCAATCTTTTCAGTCTCTTTACACGTGTATACCACATATTTCTCATTTTTCAGCCACCTCTGAAACATCTCCAATTATTCAATACTTTTTTGAGTGGGAGTTTCTATTATTTAACATAGCCTGGATAAAGCTACTCATTTTACATAATAGTTACATTTTCCCTGTTATTCCCTGTTCTTCCCCACATATTACCTGACACAAGTGCTTTCCAGACTGAAGTTACGTATTTAACAGAGTTCCCCACCAGACTTTCAGTAGTGGTACTTAGGTCTCTGTTTTTATCAGAATATCAAGACTGAATTTCTTATCCTGCTGAGCACTCATCTAAACTTAACTCCGCCTCCATGGTATTTTTCATCGTCTCTGCTGACCAGTTCAACTGGCCTTATGCCGACACACCATGGTCTGCTGCCAACACAGGCGTCATTGCCAGCAGGGTTCCAAGTTGTGCTTGTCGCTTACCCTTCACCTTCACTCTTCAGATAATCCTCTCGATAGGCAGCCAATGTGACTGATTCAAGTGGCAAATTTTTGAAGTCCTCTAAAATTAATACACATATCTAAGTTATTCTGAAAATGATCTTTTGCCCCCCAAGGGCAGGGGCAATATTAGGACTTGGACACCAAAGTTGCTGTAAAGTAACAGGTTATTGTGTGTAAAAAGCCATATAGTAACTGCCAGTACATAAAACCTTACTTTTACTGTTGGGTGTACTAATGCAAGTAGCAATCACAAGTCACTGAATGAGGAATGGCTTATTTCACCTTCACTGTGGGATATGACCATGCACACGGACAGATAACCAACATGCAATAATTTGAAATTCCACTGTAAATTCAGCAGAAGGTACTTTGTTCAAAGAATGTGCTTATCCCCTAAAAAAACTGCTTTTAAAACACAAATTTGTCTTAAGTACATAAGAAAGAAAACAATAAAAACTTATATTCTACAGTATCAGCACTAGTATTTGGAATTGTGTGGTTAAATATTTCCTGAAACAGATCCTCCCTAAACATGAGCTAACCAAAACTTCTTTTCCCTAGCTCTTTGCCAAATCCACGCTCTGCACTCAGACTTTAAAGCATAAACTTCACCTACATCATTATGCATCTACATAATCCCTGAATAGTATCAAATATGACAGAAAACATTTACATATGAGGTCCAGGAGTAGAGTATTCACATGATGGCTCAGAAGACCAAATAGTATCTCTGAAGGAGAGACCACAAGTTTCAACCCCCATTCCCAAACGTCTACATTTTATATTTTAAAAAAAAAAAAATTGTCTGAAAACAACAGGTCAGTCTTGCAGAATTTAAATTAAGTTCAGCTCTCCACAGATCTCCAGCCATATCACATCCTGAAGCATTTAGACAGTATCAGTACAGAGCTTTGGAGTAAAAGTAACTCTGCCATCATGCTGTAAATAAGACCACAAGCCAGGATAAGAGTCTGAGCCAAGAGGAGCAGACTGAATAAACTCCCGC